GCCCCCGCCCCCGCGCCGCCCGCGCGCAACAGTTCCCCCAAAGTTGCAGCCCGGGAGGCGGGCGCGCCGGGCGGCCGAGGGGCGGGCAGCCGGCCGCGGACGCGGCCTCGCGGCCCAGCGCGGCGAGTCCCGGCGGGCGGCGGCGGCGGCATGGGCACCCGGCAGACCAAGGGCAGCCTGGCGGAGAGAGCCAGCCCTGGCGCGGCGACCGGCCCCCGCCGCGAACGGCCCGACTTCTGGGCGTCGCTGCTGCTGCGCGCCGGGGACAAGGCGGGGCGCGCGGGCGCCGGCGCGGGGCTGCCCCCCTACCACCGGCGCGTGGGCATGGTCCAGGAGCTGCTGCGGATGGTGCGCCAGGGCCGGCGGGAGGAGGCGGGGACGCTGCTGCAGCACCTGCGCCAGGTGAGTGCGGGGAGGGGGCGCCGGGGCCGAGCCGGCCCTGGGAGCGCCCCGCCCCTTCCCGGGGAGGCCGGGGCGCCGGGGGCCGCCGCGTAGGGCCCTCTCCCGCGGGGATGGAGCCCTGTCTGGCAGCAGGTGCCTCTGCGCTCCCGCTGAATTTGGGGCCTCAGGGCAGGGCGGAGGAAGGCCGGCCGAGTGAGGCCCGGTGAGGGGGACCTGTTGGAATAATGTCCCCACTTCTCTCCGCAGGCAGAGGAGGCGACTGGTCTCCAGGATGGTTGGTGGGAGGGGATGCAGGGATGCATGCCCGGTCTGGTCCAGGGCTCTTTTCTTGCTTTCTACCCACTGGCAGTCACTCCCAGCCAAGGGTTCTCAAGGAGTGTACAGTTATCAGTTGGAACCCGGCCTCCCGAAAGGGAGTCCAAGGCCACAGCCCTGGGACTAGTGAGATTCCAATCCCTAGGTCGTTCACCCGCCTGGGAGGCGTCCTGGGTTGTGGCTGAAGGAGGAAACATTTCACCTCCCCTGACCAACTTTGGCTGGTCCTCAACCGTGAGCCCCTGGGGGAAGCAGGGTTTGGTTTCCTGCGTGACTACCTGGCCAGCAGGAACACAGGAGGCTGCCAGCACTCTGCCCTCTGCCTGTGCCTGCCCCGCTGGTTAGGGAGCAGACTCTGCAGATCCGTCCAGTTCCCTCTGCCTTTGGGCTGCCCTGGGGCCGATGGTGTTACCCACCTCTCTGGCTCCTTTTCCTTTATCAGTTTATTTTGGGGGAGGGCATGGCTGGTGCCATGGGTTTTGTTGTGTGCGAGAGAGACAGGAGGGTGCAAAGCTGTCCTTTTGTATCACCAAACAGGTTGTCTTGGCCTGGCTTTGGGGTAGACAGTCCAGGCCCCATATTCTTGCTAGATTGCCCCCGTTAGAGGTGGAGCCTTCTGCGGATGGCAGAGGGGGGTCTCGGATGACATTCCTGAGGCTTTTCCATCACTGATGAAAGAGGCTGTAAGAGTGCCTTCCTGGGAGGAGCTTCCAAAATCTAATCAGCCCCACATCCCTGCTGGATTTTGTAGCTCTTGACCCCACCTTTATCTGTTGTGGACTTGTATCCTGGAGCATCGTCCCCAAGGTACACGCTGCACAGGGAAAGGGAAGCAGAGACCTGGGGACTTGTGAAGACTCAGGGCTTCTGCTCCTGCCTCTGCTTTTCCAAACAACATCCAGAATGATGCCCGAGACACTGCTGGGTCCCCAGATACCTTCTCTGAATTGAATCATCAAAGAAAGATGACATTATGCACCACTTAACTTTAGCAACGTGTATTTCTTTGTCTTTTGAAAATTGGAAACCAATGTGTATGGCCTTTATAGTAACTCTTTCGCTTTCAAACAGAATAATGGATTTTCCATACCATCGAATCCTATTTGCTCACCAGGCACACCAGACAGTGAGAAGGTTTCACTGATCACGTGCTGTTCCCCGAGCACTGGGATGGGTGCTCTGGTGGATACAGAAGTGTAGAGAGATTGACAAGCCCTTCTCAGAGGGCGAAAGAACAAAGTGAAGCTAGATTCTTGAGGGCCAGTTGGAGACCCGCAGGAGGAGGCCGGACCTGAAGTGGCAGATACCTGGGGCTTCCAAGCCCCTCTAGGGCTCAATATGATTCCACGTCCAGGGGAAACCGAGCTTCCCCATTCCTTGCAGGAGAGTAGCCCCCTGCACCGTCCTTGAGACAGGGGGCACTTCCTCAGATTGCACGTGGGTCTCATTGGTATCCTGGAACCCTCCTCAGCTTCAGGACTTGGGGAGACTCATGGGCTAGGGGAGGGTTAGCAGACTTACCCCTTTTCTGCAAAAGTGGCGTGATAACATGCCCTCAGGCTCTGGGCTGTGTTGGGTTCCCTCGACCTCTGGCTAGTGGGTGAGAGCCGTGGGCTTGGAGAGCTGCCCTGTGTTGTCTGAAACGGACAGATCAGAGCCCCTCCAGGAAGTGGTCATGGGCCCGGGGCAGTGTGCAAGGGGAACACAGGGTGTCCAAGTGTCCGTGACAAACATTAGTGGTTTTCTAGGACCCTGAGGCCGTCTGGAGGAATGTCCAGCTGGATTTGTGCTATACACTGAAGTGGCTCTTTCTCCCAAATCGTATTTGCCTTCCCAGTTTCCTGCTCCTGTCTGGAGGCGGGAATGTTCAGAAAGGGAATGAGCAGTCAGTGAGGGACGTGGGAACACACCAGGCCTCGCCGGAGTCAGAGCAGGGAGAGCTTCTTCTTCAGTGGCACAGTGGGCAAAGACAAGGGTGCGCGGTACACTGCTGGGATGTTGTCCGGGACCCCCAGGTGGGCGTCGATGAACAGGAACAGGGCCAGGGAGTAGCAGCAACCAGGGCAGTAGCCATCGTCCCCCTTCCCCCCATTCCCACAGCACATTCTCCTAAGTTTAATAACGTGGGTTTGGTGCTTCGGATTTGTGTATTCCTGGAGCCACACGGTTGGAGGGGGACTGAGGATCCTTAATTCCCATGGTTCTTAACCTCTTGGCGTCCTTGATCTTTTTGAGGCCCTCAAAGAGCTACACACGGTCTTCCCAGACACATGCAGGAACACACACGATCTCCCAAGGGATTTCAGACTCCTGAAACCTGTCTACACGCTCCACGTTCAGAATCTCTGCTCCACTCTGCTGCCACCCGTCTCCCTGCTGTGAGGTGCTACGGCCTGGGGATTGGAAGCAGGGGCCCAGGACCATGTGTGGCAATTCGTGCTGGGCTGAAGGATTGTGGCTGCTGGGCGGCTTTTTCCAAATGCTCTTTTCTCATCTGAGGTTTATGGGGTGTCTCTCCAGTTTATGACTTGCTAGAAAGGTATCAGGGGGCTTCATTCAGTGCAAATGACCCTGAACTGTGACCAGGAGTGCAGGCAGGAAGCCAGGCAGCCGCCCTGAAGGAACAGAGAGGACCCCCTTCCCTTCAGGAGCAGTGTAATCTGAGAAGAGCCGGGGCCAAGGATCAAGCCACTTCCCGTCCCCAGTCTGCTGTGACCTTGGGCCCAGCAGATAACCTTTCTGAGTGTTTCCTCACACTCAGAGGGATCTGGGGCTCTGAGCAGAGCAAACGCTACGAAGTGTGCAAAATTGTCTTGGTGCTGCCAATCAAGACAGGTTCTCACAGCAACTGTGATACAAAATAGGAGAATCTGCCCTACTTTGGGTCTGGCCAGACCAGGGGCCACGTCGTGGTAGTCTGTCTCAGCCCAGCCTAAGGATTTTTTGGATTCTGTCTACCTGGCCAGGGCTCAGTCTGGATCCAGAGCTCACTGCAGGTTCAGAAGCAGCTGGAGTGGGTGCTCATGGGGACGTGAGAAGCCAGCTTTGGATGGGAGAGGCCATTTCTCTCCCCTTCCCTGGTCCCCGGTCCCCAGGCCTCACCCTTCCCTGGCGTTCTCTCCCCAAGTCTTGGGCTCAGGCGTGCCATCTTTAAGGAGCCCTGGTGAGGAAGTGACCTTCTGTCATGGAGAGAAGGCAAGTGTTAGGCTCCTGGAAGATGAGGTGTCATCCCTTCAGCCCAGCAGTTTTCCTGAGTCCCCAGAATTTTAGACTGGGTTGTTGGCCCACTTCGTGGAGCACCAGAACAAGGGGTCCATCTCCCTGGGACACACCCAGGTGAGGTGGCCCATCTCTTCTCGTTCCCATGAGGAGGGGCTCACTCATGTGGCTCACCCTCCTGGGCAGAGCTGTCCAGTGTTAGCCTACCTGGCACCCGCCACCCCAGCGTGTGGCTTCGGCCTGGATTCCTGGTTCTCTCTGCTGTTTGGGTGTCAGGGCTGGCTCCACTCTGTACCTGGGAGCAGGAGCCGCATCAGCTAATGCGAAAAAGAACCATCAGGGACCTATGTCACTTGCCCCTCAAGAAGAGCTGAAAAATGGACAAGCAGTTGGAGGCTCCCTGGAGATCTGGAGGCTGGGTGCTCTTTCCTACCTGGAGGCAGAAAGATGAGCAAAATGACCTCCGAAGGTCACCTTTCTCCTCCCACACCCCAGCTAAGAAAACCTCTTTAGGCGAGCAGGCTGGAAGGCCACCAGACAGAGTGGGGAGGCCCCACGCTGGGCCTGGCTCCTCTTCCTCCACCTGGAATGCACCTTGCCCTTCCCAGGCCCCCCCTCCTGGGCATGTCAGTCCAGGCTCTGAGATCCATGTGCCTTTTAGGCCCCGTCACCCTGGGCGGCATTCAATCTGTACAGTTTTTCCCCTGATGTCTGTTTTGTTTGTCAGACAAGGTCATGTGTTTCCTGAGGGTAAAGAGCCCCCCACTACAGCTGTCTATGGTAAAGCATGGAAAACCCACAGGCTGTGACATGCCTTAGCAAGTCTGTGTGCCGTGAGGTGAATGTACGTGTGTATGTCTGCTGCTGCCATCACAGTGTGTCCTCAGAAAGCACTTGGATTCCCCGGCTATGGCTGTGCAACTGTGGGCTGATTAGCAGGCTTGTTAGTACTGTCATGAGATGCGGCATGTTTGCTTTGCGTGTGGTTAAATTTCTGGGAGGGATGTCCATGGGGCTTGGCTGTTCCCGGCAGGCTGCCAGGCGGTGGTGTTCTTGGAGAGAGGAGTGGCATGGTGCCTGGCCTCTGTGGCACCATGAGATCCCATCCGGCAGGTGCAGGCTGGGGCCTCTGCTGTGGTGGCGGGAGGGAAGCAGAGCCTGCTGGGCAAGCCTGGCCCCCACGCGCCTGAGCTGTGCTTGTGCCGAATCACGTTCGTTCTCTCCACAAACAGAAACCTTCCTTTTTAGAATCCGCCACTTTCTGGGCTGGATCCAGGCATTTCCAGTGATAAAGGTGCAGAAGGGTTCCTATGTCACAGCCCGCTTCATTGGTTTCCCAGGCTGCCGGGGACACTGGCCAGGGACACAGCAGCCTCTGTAGTGGCCAGGCATGACCATGGGGGCTGTGGCTGGGCCGGTTATCCTGACTTCAGGGTCTGGTGAGGCAGAGGTGGAGTCCTTTCCCC